ACTGCTTGAAGTGAACCTCTGAATAAGCATCAGTTGAAAGGAAACCCCACTCACAGCTCCCGAAATAGGCACAGGCACATGTGCCAAGCATGATAAACCCATCAACCTAAAGTTAGTGTTCCTCAAGTACACCATGAGACAGACTCTCCCCAAGAGATATACACAGAGCCCCTTTGTGTGTGAGCGTATGTGTTTGTGTGTGTGTACGTGCAGATTGCAGACGGGGGGGAAGGGAGGGGATCTGTTAGACTGTAGTGCATTTGGTATTCAGCCGTGCCCAGTATTTATCTGTCTGCTGGCTGTCTAGTCTGGTCTGGCCTGTTAGTGGTGTCACCCTACGTGCTCCCTGGGGGACTGAATTGATGCTCCAGACTGTGTGTGCATGTGTGTGTGGCTGTGTGTCTGTGAGGGAACGGAGGTCTGTTGCTTGAGGGAGAATCGATGGCTGTCTGAATGTGTCTCTGGATGAGAGCTTGTCTGGGATTTGTGTGACCTCAGCTTAAAGACATGGAAGAAAGCAAATGTATAGATTTGGTATTTTCTTTTTCTGGTTTAAAAAGTGGCAGGATGTCAGGCTGTTTCATTGATTATGATCTTGGCGGCTGTCGCTGTTTGATGCGTCTCTCTTCCTTTTACTAAAAGTGTTAATGTACTCATTGAGGAATGTGTAATTCACTGGAAGCTGCAGTCAAGGAACATTTCTTATTCATGACTGGATGTAGAACTTGGCTGTGTTGAGGCACTTAATGCTTAACATCTGCTGGAAGTGATGGCTGTTTTTACTTGTTCTCCCTTTACAGAGTTCTCTTTGCTTTTATTGGCTTTGGATTATTACTCCTCCTCTGCATGGGTCTTCCTTTTTTAAAATCAAGGTACAAACTAATTAAATTACTTTCTACTTCTAGTTAAACGGGAATAATTTGTCTTGGGTAATATTTACCTTATCCCAGAGGTTCTTACTTGAAATAATCTGATCTTTAAAGTGGGACGCAGTGTTGTTTGTTCTTTTCTTAGGGTTTTCTATTTGCTCAAAGATAAAACAGTATTTAGGTATGATTTTCACCATTGATCTTTCTTAGTGTCAACCAAAGACAGATCCCTCAGCATGATGCACCCTCACCATGCTTCAATGTTGCGTTCTTAGGATGAGAAGAGGAGTTGGGTTGCCTGCAATGTTTAAAATCTACTGTGATGATTTGAAAGTATTATCTTGAGTGTTGCAATACAAATAAACATGCACTGGCCCATCCGCCCGTCTCTCCGAGTCACGAATGGCTGGTGCTTATCTCCAAACATCTTTGAGCAAAACCCAGTTACACCCTGGACAGGTTGCCAGTCTATTACACACACTCACATCTAAGGGCAATTTTAGGATGCCAGTTAAATCTAATGTTCCTGTTTGGGACTGTAAAGTATTGTGTTCGGGTCTGTTGCATAATATTAAATGAAAAAAAAAAAAGACAAAAACATTTTAATCCAGATTCTCTAGGACAAAGAAAAAAAATAAACATTTGGGCCCCTGTTGCACTAGCTGAGGGTTGTTTTAATCCTAGAGCCTGTGTGACTTTTACTGCTGATCATACATTGCTGTTGATCATTCCTACAGTTATGCAGACAATGTACCCAACTTCTGATGGTTTCCTCCATAAAAATAAGGCATCCTGTCACAAAGCTATATTAGATCTTAAACATGTTGAAAATAACGACCGCCAATCATGTTCTATCATAAAGTGACAGACATGGAGCCATGGACAGAGGATCCAATGATGTTATATCAGTAGGCGGGACTCAGGAGCAGCGGAACAGAGAGACAGAAATGCTCACTGAAAACTCTCAGAACACACACAGCTGGGCGCGACCTGAGGTTACTGTTGTTGGCTAAAGTAAATGAGCCGAAACCAAATCTTCAAATTATTGGTGGGGACTGTCCCCACCCATTTCAAAGTTGGTGGGTACATGTCCACACCAGTCCTTCAGAAAGTTACGCCAGTGTCTCAAGGCACTTTACCGTTCACCATATCATACAGTCAGATTGATTCAAAGTTTTCTATCTAATGAAAACCAGTTGATTGCATCGACTCATTGACTCGAAGGCAATCCTTCATACTAAGCATGCTTTTAGTGACAGTGGAGAGGAAAAACTCCCTTTTAACAGGAAAAAACCACCAGCAGAACCAGGCTCAGTGTGAGCGGCCATCTGCTGAGGCCAACTGGGGTTCAAGAGACAGAAGCAGAGATACAAAAAGAAGAAGAGATACAAAAAGCAACACACAGCCAGGCGGACGAGCTCCGAGCCAACTTCCATGTCAGAGGAAGAAGAGCACACATTCAGCCAGTCACAGTAAGAGAAACAGGACTACACTGAAAAACATCTACAAAAAAAGGTGTTGATGGCAGCAACACAGCTGATATTTCTCTCCAGGATGGGAAATATCACCCAAATAAACCATATTTCAATTAACTCTACTTTGAGTCCTCCCCGGATGACCGAAGTCCTCACCCTATCTCTAAGGGAGAGCCCAGACACACTACAGAGAAAACTCATTTCAGCCCCTTGTATCCGGGATCTCATTCTTTCGGTCATGACCCAAAGTTCATTACTATAGATGATGTTTTTTGGCTCACCACACTGTTGTTTTACCACAACAGACTGATACAGGGCCCACTCACGGCAGACGCCACACCAATCCGCCTATCGATCTCCCGCTCCATCTTCCCCTCATTCGTGAACAAGACCCCAGATACTTAAACTCCTCCACTAGGGGCAGTACATCCTCCCCAACCTGGAGAAGGCACTCTACCATTTTCTGGCTCAAGACCATGGTCTCGGATTTGGAGGCACTGATCCTCATCCCCGCCGCTTCACACTCGGCTGTGAACCACTCCAGCGAGAGCTGTAGATCATGCTCTGATGAAGCCAACAGAACCAGATCATCTGCACATAATCGATGACAAAGGGCAACCTTGGCGGAGTCCAACCCTCACCGGAAACGAGTCCGACTTACTGCAAGCAATGCGGACCAGGCTCTGACACCGGTCATACAGGGAACTAACAGCCAATATTAAAGGGTTGTCTTGTAGATGCATAAATCGTCTTTCAGAAAGTAGAAACCCTGCCTAGTTTTTCAGAAGTGATCAAGGAGTGCAGAGCTGAGCTAATTAGTTCACGTTGGAGTCAGGTGTTTTCCAGCAGGGATGCATCAAAAGGCTGCAGAAGACTGACTTTTGAGGAATGAAGAGTGAGAGCACGGTATTAGTCAATGTCTATTGAAAGGAGATGTAAATGCAAATGGTTAAAACTATATGTAAAGTTTTTTACTTTGCAGTTTTTATAGCCTGTTTTATCAGACTGCAAACAGCTCTACATGGATTATTAAGCAAAATGTTGTTTGTTAAGAGATATACTCTTTTTGTTACACAGAGAGGGGTTGTGTTTTAGTGAGGATTCCTCCCCCCAGCTGTACTTGTGTCACTGAAGCACAAGAGTGGGGGTAGGAAGGGATATAACCTAACGGAATATCTTCAAAACGGCTCCAAATGACAGAAAACTCCTATGGCTAAGAAGAACATTATGTAATAACATAAAATTGAGGGTCCAATGTAAAAAAAAAAAAAACTATTTCCCCTTTAGTGATTTTTAGCTGACTCTTGTTTTACATCAAATATTGATTCTATTATTTGATTTGTGTAAATAAATTGCTATTAAAAGTAAAAATAAAAAGTCTTCTTTAGTTTAGACAGATCGCAACCAACTAAGGTGCATGTACCACCACTTACCAGACGAGTGTGGTCATCGATGATGTCCGAAGGAACTACATACCTCAGTGGTATGCACAAATCTGCAAATTTATATCCATGCACACTCACATATACATTTGCATTCATACACAAACTTGTATACATCATTTAAATGCGATTAAATAATCAAGTGTTTTTTTTTAATCTATTTAATTAATTTCTAAAGAATTTGGTTTATTTCCTATAAAATTTATCATAGAAAATCTAATTTTCTCTGTTTAGTATTGACTTTGAACGATGACATTCATCTGAATGGGGGGTCACCTCAAGGTTAGATCCCTAAAAGAAGCATCTCCATTGGCTGCGGCCTGTCGTAACAAGGGATTGAAACCCGAAACTCTCTCCCCACCCTCCCTAAATAACGCACCAAGCCAACCAATCCTCCTCCCCCCCTCCTCATGGCTCCTGATCTGCTCTTCCACATCCATTGTCAGTTTTGGCCTGGTCGTCTGTCAGCTTTCTGTCTCAGGTCAGCCTTTTCCAAACCCCAACCACTGACACAAATTCGCATTAACAGAAATATTTACGCTTACAGAGAAAAAAAAAAAAAAGACTAAACCACACAAACATGCCCCTTTACCCAGACAGATAGGCCCGCACAGAACTAGGATTATCCTAATGGTGCTTTCACGTACTGTTTATTTATTCACCAATTGTGAAGTCTACTAATTTCATATTGGTGCGGTTAGTTCTGTAATTTTCATTCCAGAACTTACTGGAATTTTTACTCCAGAGTCTCTGAGTGTGTAAGGTTTTAGTCTAGTCCTTGACTTCTTCAAACAGTCGGTTACTGCTTGATTTCTTTGACAGGCAATAGATGATAATTTCCGTTTTATCATCCACAGAGCATGTAAAACAATAAACTCATTTTGTAATGACTTAAACAACCTTTATTGTCAGTTTGTATATACAGGGTGTTTATACAAAGGGAAATTTCGTTTATGAAGCTTTCCGAAGCTAGTGATTTTTAGCAGCGACTTAGCAGTGAAAAGTACCATTTATAAAGCCATAATAAATCATTTGAAAAATATTGGTCTGAATTGAAATTCTGATTGTTTCTGCGTCCTTGAAGGTAACAGCTTCTCAGAGACTGAGTCCGTCCCATGGAGAAATTTGATTGGCCGCAGCGAACGTCTTTCACTTGTGGGCGGGGCATGAGCCTTCAGCTTCTGCTCCGCACCAACAGAGCACAGACAACTGCTCTCAGCAGCGGAGGAAGGCGACGAAGAGCCATTGCCAGAGCGCATTAAGCGATGGCTCTAGCCTGAGTTTTACTTCTAATTCTCTGTCCGAGCTGCGCTGTAAAAAACATGGCGTGAGACGAGACGTGTGACAGTAAGAGCGAAGGCTGTCGGGGGAGTTTACTCGTAGCGGCAGCCCGCGCGCTGCCGCTGCCTGGAAGTTTTTCCTCCTGTTGTTTCTCCGTCGGGGTGTCCCGACGGCGGCGGCGGAGGTGGCGGCGGCTCTCTCCCCGGAGCGGTGTCCCGATCTGCCCAGCCCCATGCAAAACGTAACGGCCCCTGGCGGCTCTGGCAACTCCAATGTCACCTGCTCCTGCAACTGCACCGCTTCCCAGCCACAGGGAATGGAGATATGTGAGTAACATTCGCTGCTCCTCTCACGGTCTCCTGGCCTTAAAAGCTACTCTCAGACTGTATTGCCCTAATGCGTTTTCTTTTACCACATAGCAACAACATATTAGACTTGATTTTTATCCAACATGGTTGAACAGCTCGGCGCAGGGCTTAATATTCCTCGCATTAAAATCTAAAAATCCTCTTTTAGGACCGGCAGTTTGTCCTCTCTGTCTGGAACAAACTTAGGCCAACTTCATGGAACCTTTACCCCTAAACTCGATAAAGATTATTGTTTTCAACATAGAAAGCTACTAAGAATGCTAACTATTCACATCACCGTATGTTTGGTGTAAAAGCTGCATAGCATTATCATTTGCAGTTAGTTAAATTAGTTATTACTTTATAAGGAGTGTTCTTGACATGTTTCGCCCTTAAAGTGGCGCATATGCTGTGAGAAATGAGCGCACAGGGTTAAATAGTTTGCCTGTCAGCGCAGACAGGAAACGCTGGAATGGTATGTTATGTCTGTGCTCTTAGTAGCCCAGAGAGAAACTATCATTATCCTGCTGCTGGCTGCCTTCTTGATCCACTGCAGATGTTCCTGTTTATGGCCGAGGCAGGGCGTTCAGGAGAGCAGACAGGCTGCAAAGCAATGCAGAGGACACACACACACGAATGGGGGGGTATTTGCTGGCAGTGTGGCAGATCCACTGACAGACAAAGGCAAACAAACAGGAGAGGACCACATAGCAGACAGAGCAGACAAGGCGGGAGGATTCATAACCAGTCAGCCAGACAAGTACTGACAGAGAGGAACAGACACCTCCCCAGCCAGACAGGCGTATGTACTGACTGACTGACTGACTGACTGCCAGTCTAACACAGACAGACAGAATTACTGTGATGTGTAATTTCCATAGGTGCTGAGGCCAGAGCTGGGCAACATGAGATGAAGGCAGGATATTAGATTTTGATCTGGCAGCTGAGTGTGGTAGTGCTGACGCCACATTGTAACCAAGAACGAGTGCATCTAGTTGAGGAGCCGGTGTTCCTCAATTCTGCTGCTCCATGGTTCTGCTTGCCAGGAAAAATACACATCAACCGGCACACGAACATGTCCATCGATGCAGCAGCAGGCCTAATTAGTTCATTCAGGGATGGATGGAAGGTGGGAGGCTAAGGGATGACTTGACTTCTTCAAACAGGAAGCAGAAACTGTAGAGCTTTCAGGGCTGCATGTATGTGGGTGCTTTGGGATAAATACCTTACTGGTTATTTTCAGCAAGTTTGGCTGTCTGAATGTTTCACTAGTTTGAGGCAGCTCCTTTCAAAAGTGGTTTGAAATAGTGCTGCCCTGCTGTAGTGGCCGTCTGCTTTGAAAAGAGCTCTTGTTTGTCGGCTGTGTTGTCATGCAGACTGCAGGGCTGAATAATGCAGCTCATGCTTTGATGATTTATCTGGCTAAAGAAAAGAGCTACAGTCAGTCTCATCTCTCCTTTTTTTTCTCCCTTCTTTCTTTCCCTAAGCCAGAGCGAGCCGTATCGCTTGTAAGTTTACTCTTTTCTTTCTACAAGGAAAATTGAAAGAGACCTCGAACATAGAAGGATCACAAGTCAAACAGGGTGTCACGGCCAGGGGCTGAACCCCTTCCCACACATTTGGTTTTCATGTGGGATTTGAAAGGCAGGGCTCCTGTTGGAAGCTCTCTTCCCCGGCTGTTGCTATGTTCACATTGTAGTTGAAATATAAAGGAGTCGCAAAGTCGAGCAGTTGTAGGTGAGCTTTCCTGGATGTTAACTTACACTTACGCGTCAGATGGGGAAGGCTTTTAAACTACACGCCTGCTTGCTGTGTTTTGTGAATGTTTGGTACCCACTGGGTGAGTTTACAAGCCTGTATTCAGCAAACATTTTTCACTCCAAAGCTATTTAATCTAAAATCGACACTTTCTGTTGCCTTCATTCTCTAAAGCCTTATCTTTCTGTGGGGAAATTCTGTGAGGACGTTTCTGTTTAACCCAATGCTAATTCTCTTTTCCTTTCAATTAGACTTTTTTTTTCTTTATGTCTTATTGTAAAATGGATTATTGAAGACTCTTAGTAAAAAGAATCAGCAACCAAATTCAACCAAAGATCAGAAGAAATCTACCCCACAGTCAGTATCTTCAGTTTAAACGCCCTTGCTTATAAAATCATCTCTTACACAATTCTGATTGCCAACAAGTTATTTTTATGTAAAATAAATATTTTCACCTCCTACAATAAATGATAATGTTTTGCATTTTACTAGAGCTACATCAGGTTTGCAAATATCGGGAAAGGTTGCAATGAAGATTGATAATGTTAAGATTAATGATGTAACTTATGATAAACAATAAAAAAAATAAGTGTTTTTATATTTTTGGTTTGGGTTAATTGCAAACATAGAGGCAGTATAGAGAGGGAAATGTTTTCCATCTGTAAGACAGAATTTAATGAAAACATGTTCTGTTGGTAATGAGGACATTTAGTCAAAATGTTTAATGATGTCCACTTCACCATTTCTTTAAACTTTTTTAAAACAAAAACACAAATCGATTTTGGGCATTAAAACATTGAATGTAAAATACCTAAATAGAAATGAAACACTTAAGTCCTGAAAATGGCAACTAATAGCCCTAAATTGTTGTTATGGCAATAATAATAAATAGATATGACTTTTTGAATGTTCGGAAAGCTATTGAAAATGAAATTTCATCTTCTACACATTTTGAACACACTCAGAAACTAGAAGGTTTTAGCTTTAAAATAATGTAATTTGGGCTTACAGTTCCTAAGTTATTTGCTTTTTCATTTGGGTATCCTAAATAGGTGAGAATTTCCCAAAATGAGGTGGAGGTTAAGAGGTTATGTATTGGTGGGAGCGGAGCGCCTAGAGGAAACAGCCTGCCCTGTAAGTTGTGTTATGTAGCCGATGTTGGAGTCAGCTGGCTGAGATCTCCACTCAGATCCACATGGCTTCTTGTTAACTCTGTCTAAAACTTAGGCCTTTTGGACACAGCAGTGTTTTTACGGTCAAAACAGAAAGGTGTTGAAAATGTATTAGTAACTCTCCCTGTTCGTGTAAACCATTTGTTTTCTCTAAAAAGGTTGACTTCCCTTTTAGTGGTAGACCTGAAACATGCGTGGTACGACCTACAAGTGGTGCTCTGGTGCTTTTAGCCACACATGAAGACACTGCTAACTAGTGGGGGGTCAAAGAAACGACACGGTTTCTAATGTTTCTATGTGTGTTTGGTGCTCTGGGATGATAATTAAAAGTTCCTCATGTTGACAGAAATGGAACAGAGCTGTTATCAGTGGATCTTGGTCGGGGGCACAGCGTCTTAGCCAGATGTTGGTTCAGCTATTTGAAATCATGCGGTATCATCTCAGGCTGGAAATTGGAATTTCTTACTGCTTTCAGAGCCTTCTTTTTGTTAGGTGCCGTTACCAAAGTTAAGTCGAGTTCCAGACTTTATACAGTAGCCCAACAAAGCCTTGTTTTTGTTTAGAAAACTGCAAATTGGAACGGATGCATGTTTTCTATGACCTGGATGACTGAGAATCTTCACCAGCACTTGTCTTGTTCTGTGAGGTGTTGATGCGTCGAGCATAAACCAATCTTAATTCTTTATAAAAAGCAGCGGCTGATCATTATCGTAATATAAAACAGTAGTGGAACTTTTTGTTTTAACAATAACCAATCAGCTGTATTGAATGTGTTGCTCTGGCTTTAAAAAAGATGTTCCAGGAAATGTTGATGTATAAAAAAAAAAGGGAAGCAATTTTACAATTTTGCTGCTGGGTCGTCTGGTGTTTGTGAACATTTTTTTGACGACCCTCACTGTTTAAAACCTCCTGGAGAATAAAACTCACAGTTTAAACTCTTCTTTACTTTTCTGGTCCAGGGTAACTTAAAGAAGCACCATCTGAACTTAACACAATATTAGAAAATACAGTTGGTTAGCTTAGTTCTCTCTGCTCTCCACTCCAAGCCAGCAGTGTCATCACTTGCTGCTAGGACTCCTTTTGTGTCTAGATTTTGCTCCCCCATCACACTCACAGCCACAGTCCAGACCTACTCCCCGAGTTCCCAAAATGCCCCTGGGACTGGGACAGATTTGTATTTTTAGTGTGTTGGAAGACAGGCCATCCGTCAAGTAAGTGTATGACGGGGATGGCTGTAGGAGGATGGAGGTGGGGGGAGGGTCTAGTAGTCTGATGTCTCGGTCAGCATCTATTTACACACATTTGGGCTGTCTGGGATGTTAAAGAGCTCCTTTCTTCTGACTCCATGTCTGTAGGCATGGATTGGAGCTATTACAGTCAAACAAGATGCTGTTTTCCAAACATGCTGGCAGACAGTACAAAGGCAGCTTTTACCCCCCCTTGTTGTTGACCTGTTTTTTTTATTTTTTTTATTTTTTACATACAGACAAATCAAATGATTGGCATGCTTATTAGCTTCCATGAACCTCTCTGCTTTGAAATTTACAAACGGTGCAGAGCATCGAATGAAACAATACAAGCTCAAAAGGATAAAAAAACAAACAAATGCTGTACCACCCGCTGTTTTTCTCTTAATCCGTTTGTTTATGTGAGCAGGAACACCCAGACAGAGGAATAATGGCATGTCTCTTCAAGTGGTTAGTAGGGTTTTCCCTGGATTTCAGGGGGCTTACATGGAAAACAATCCTGTGACGTGGCACTGCTTCTGGGGCTGTTTAAAAGCCTCTGTGATCATTTCAGTACAGGACCTGAAATGCTTTAAGCAGCATCTCAAAATCGCTTTTTTGGAGAATTATCAGAAGCCAACCGTTTTCTAATGATTTACAAGGAAATATTTAGCATTAGTCCATGAAGGTCAAATGGCCGCAGCAGATGAGTAGACACGGTCAGAATATCTGATTGTTTAGCAAATTCTTTAAACATAGAGACTTAAAATGTGAAATTATGACATACTGTTCTATAAATTATGTTTTTTTTTTTAACTAAGAA